TCCTGGGGAGACAACACAGATGCAGCAGGGGGTGCAAGGCACCTTCTGGGGCCATTTAAGACTATGAAACTATACATCCAACAAACTAAACGTAGGTTTTTTTTTTTCAGGGAAAACGGCGCACCATTTTTGCAAATTGCCATCAACAAGATGATCCTTCTCAAATGCAGGTTTTAGAGAGAAGCAGAAACATAAGCAGAAACATGGTTCTGTCATAAGCAGAAACATGGTTGACTAATTTAAAAGCCCGTCCTGCCTGCGACATTACGACTAGGGCTTTATCTGAAGCTGTAATATAAACACGACAGCACCCTGGCGTTAACCAAGTCGAGTGATGGATCAAATTTAAATAGCACTTCATCTAAAGAGAGAGATTATTTCCTCTGAGATTCTGGTAGGAAATTCATCTCTCTATGCTTCCTGTTACCTTGTCAAGTAGCAAATGTAATTCTGAATCCAAATCAAGGTGTCTTTTGAAGCAAGGTGAGGCTGTTGTCCTTCCTGCTCCCGCCAACACTCCCAAGCCCTGTCTTGTCAAAAGACCTGTGACCTGTGATTGTCTCTCTTCCTCACACTGCACCACTCTCCCCTCAGTGCCCTTGGCCACTGCCCCTTCCTCACTCTTTGGTCCAGAGGACACTGGCTCCTTGCTCACCACCCACCTTCCCACCTGTCCTCACCTGCAGCACCTCAGACACCCACGAAGACGATGCACTTTGACCACACGGTTTCTGGGCCTCACCCCTCTGACCTTTGATCTTTCCTCCACCCCAAGTCAGCCCCTCACCCAGTCACAACCCGACCCTGACAGTATCTCCAGTACTTCTCAAATTCAAACTCTCTCTAACCTCCACTCATCTCTTTTCAAATGTCCTTATTCAAAGTCCTTCAGCAATAAGTTTTTAGACTCAACAAGACCATCCAAGCCAATGAGTTCACCACCTCTTCACAGCTTTACTTGTTTTTCTAAAGAGGCCGGATTCTGGGTTATAAAAGTCAAAAACCCTAGGCTCTTATATAAAGAGGGTTTGGGAGTGGCCATTCTCCAACAGACTCAACTCAATTACCATTGAAACCTAAGTATCATCTAGAGAATGGCACACCACTAGGCAGGTTAACTGGCTTTTATCACCTTAAATTCTGTATCACAAACTTGGTTTCTGAGGTTCCCTATTCTCTTTCCCTAGTGAGCCAGCTTTCCTATTCTCTGAGTTGACAATTTCACCTTTTCTCCTAAATCTTCACCCCCATCTTTCTAATGGTGGCCTAGATGTACTCCATTGTCAGAAACCTTTAGATACAAGATTCTTCATCCTCCCAACACTAAATCTACCCCCACCCCTTCCACCTTTATCAATCCTCTCTTCCTGTTATAGTGGATTCATTGTCCTTCTCTAAAGCAAATCACCTTGATTCATTCCTATCTACCATTTTAAGGAGCATATACCTCCAGTTATATCCTTTCTAGACCCTACCTTCCAGGATGTCCTCCAGAATGTACCTTTCCTATTAGCATTTAAATGTGCCTTGGGCATATAATCAAAATTCCTTATCTGCATCCATATTCACCACTAGCTCACCTCTGGTTTTCTATACAACCAGCCCAATCTGGCTTCAAGGGCACATAACACTCAAAATCGAATAATAGGAAAACAAACAACTATAAGGAAGCTTAGATGATGATTGCCCTGAACTAAGCTGCTCTCTACCTATGCAGTTGCATCTCTTATGACCATGGGCTCCCAAATGCAAAGAGACATGGCTGCATCTACATCATAAGCCCCCCACATGTGCTGTGCTATGCTCATTTGTGCTGTGTTGCCTGTCTTGTACCTTGTCGTAAAGTGGACTTGATGCTGAGGGAACACAAACAGAAATCATTATTAATGTATAAGGGAGTAGTATATACAAATATACTAAAATATATTAGGGGACTGAATTCACCAAGGAAGTCATCTAAGCCAGAGCTGTTTAGGAGGGTGGGGGAAGACTCTCCCTTTTAATCTTGACATTGGTTATTTGTGTTTTCTCTTTTCTGTTGATCACTCTGGCTAGAGGTTTAATAACTTTAAGTTATCAGATATAAACCATTGGTTCCACTATGCTCTTGGTCTAGTAATAGTCAAGAAGCTGTGTTGAGCTAACACTTCTGCCAATAACAATAATGAAGCTGGACAGAATATAAAAGCATACATAGGTAGCAATTGGAGGGAACACACTAAAAGTATTAAAAATGTAGGAAAGTTCTTAATGACAAGCCTGCAACACTTGAGGACACAATAGTAAATAAGCAGCACCAATCCTTAAGAAAGCCTGCCCGCCCCCAAGAACACCAAACTTGAATCTAATCAACTTCTATATCTAACCACCAGCTCACAAAAAATACAGTTGATAGAAGATGATGTTAAATTGACACTGAAAGAGTAGAATAAAATACCCAACATTCTGATTTGGGTTAAAACAAATGACAAGATGTCGTTAATAAAGAAACGGCACTCAAAAACAGGGAAATGTTTGAAATTAAGAGACTTGACAGTAATATCTGAACAGAATACAGCACCTTGATTTAATCCTGGTTCAAGCAAAAATTACAAAATGACATGCCCGAGCCCATCAGGGAAGTTTGAACACTGGGTATTCAGTGCTATTCAGGAATTACAGATGATTTTGGGGGGTATGATCCCATATTATGGCTATATTTTTTTAAATCCTTTTCTTCTATAAATAGTAGAAAAGCTTTGCACCCCCTGCTGCATCCATGTCATCTCCTCGGGAGCTTTTGTGTGGAGGGACTGTGAGATGCCATCTTTCTCATCAGACACTGCGTGACCACTGCTGGCTTGTTTATCGCCCTGAGCTGAGACAGATATCATTTATAATCCTTCACATTATTAGCTGCAGTACACACACACACACAGAGTGAAGTATTTAATATTTAAGTAAAAATATGATGTCTGGGTTTTTTTTTTTTAATACTATAGCAAACAAGGGGGAAGGTATTAGAAAGAGAAAGGAGAAGAGAGAGCAAGGAGGATGAGGGAGAGATAAGCTATAGGCAAACAAGATTGGCAAAGTGCTGATAATTATTGGGAGTGCCTGGTGTCTGGTTATTGCAGTCTCTCTCCACCTTTAGGTATGTAGAAAGTGTCCATAACAAAAATGCTAAATGAAGGGCTCAAGCTAGAATGTCTGTTAATATGCCTTCCAGTTTAAAATTTTAGGATTCTATATTGAATTTCCTAAAATATATCCACTGCATGTTTAAGAATAAATACATGTAGACTAATATTGGAGGAATATTTCTTAAAATTTGTAATACATAAGAACCACAATGATTACAAGGCACAAATCTGTTATTTAGGAGGAAGAGTTTAAGAAGATGGCTATTCTTTTCTGCGGACAAGAAAAAGAAGAATTTAATAAATACTTCTAAGTACAGAAAGAATAGGACCAACTATTTTTGTACCCAATGATGACAGAATAAGATGTAAGAGTTTAAATTATAAAGATAGTCGGGCCTCCCTAAGCACCGTACTACGAAGCAATCCGCAGCCCCTGCAACATGAGTTCGATCCCCGGCTGGCCATGGAGCAACCCACATGACGAAGCAGACCTGTCCTGTCTAGCCCGCTGCTCCCCTCAGCAATGTATTTCAGTCAATCTGCCTGTTCTGTTCCCCACTCTGTCTCTGGTGAATCCTCTCACCCCTCTCCCCTGCATCTCTGGCCTGTACCCCAGGTCTTGTATGCATAAATAAATCTTTAACAAAAATTATAAAGATAGTAAAATAGATTTTCTTCCTCTCTTGTATCTTTTTGTAACAAATTATACCATCATACTTTTCAACTATTCTTTTAATCATTTACCAAAATCTTCCTATGTTCACTGAGTGCTAGAAATACACATTATTTTGCTGAGTATAGGTATGTGGGAGACAAAGATAAAAGATAAAATGAGCTTTTATGACTTTAAAAAAAAGCCTAATCTTTATTGTCTGCTGGTGAGAAATAAAAATGTGCTGGAGTCTTGAAATTTTATTAATGATTTACTGAAAAATAATGTACAAACACCCAACTGTGAGTTTTACAGAAATCTGTTCGCAAACCCCCTGAAATCATGGACAAGGTGTTGACTCTGCGTTTTTCTAGAGAGCTTGTCATGGCTTTCATTAATCTCAAATGGTAACAATCACCAATGGGATGAAACCACATTTCATGCCCTAAAAACTTCAAAAAATGGGGTAAAATGAAACACAGTTCCCTTTCCCCCTGCTAAGCTTCATAAAGCCTGCTTCTTCTGGAAGTTGAAAGATGAATTCAACTTGTAAAACTTTGTTTCCAGTGTTAGAGTGTCCTCTAGTGGCTGCTACTAGTGCTGCTGTCCTCTAGGGCTGCATGCTCAGAGCAATGTTTTTTTCTTTTTTTTCCAACAAAAATATAATTCAAGCCACACAGGTAAATTTAAAATGTTCTTGTAGTCACATTAAAAATTTTTTGAACTTTATGTAAATTTTTAATAACATTATTTATCTAAATATAACCAAAATATTATTTGAAAATTTATTAAATCTATTATTTGAAAAATCTGTTAAATACTAGAATTGCTGTCAGAAGTAGCTGACAAATGGCAAGACTAAAACCACTAAATTCAAGATGAAAGGCCAAAGAATTTTAATTACGAGCTGTGCTTTAACTAGAAAATACATTAGTTATAATAAAATGTTAGACTGCAAGAAAACTAAGGCTTACCCAAAGGCAACTGAAATAACAATGAGCAGAATACACTGCCTTTCAATGCCACCAAAGCACCTTTAACAACAGAACATGTTGCAGAGGAACCACCAAATTTGAATCTCAAGGCTTGTTGAAGTTATCATTTTATAACAACCCACAAAGAAAACATAAATGAAGGTCAATGAAAGCCATGTTTTCTACAGCACAAAACCAAGAACAGTATTTTTGTTTTGTTATTCATAACATTTCACTAATAAAAGAAATTACCTCAAAAACGGGTGTCTTTTCCTGGAGTTCAGCTGTGTGGGCGGCCAGTAAACCAATCACCCGAGCTACCTTGGCCCGTCTGTAAAAAACAGGGTCTGGTGAGAAGTCAGCACAAGGAACCAATCTCAGCTAGTTACATTACACAATTGTGGGCATTAGCATCAGATAAATATTGACCGTGACAGCCAAATAACTTTAAAATAGCCAATCAATAACCCAAAAAAGTGACTAACCTTGAAAAAGAACTAAGAGCTAAGTCTCACTCTTTCTGATTTCCAAACTCATTCTAAAGCTTTTGTAATCAAGACATTGTGGTACTACTGGCCTAAGGACAGACCTATGGAAAATGGAATAGAGAGCCCAGAAATAAAGGCTCACATGTATGGCGGAATGACTATCAATCAGGTGGCCAGTTTCATTCAGTGTTGAAAGGACATGCTTCGAAAAAATGGTGCTGGGGAAACTGAATATCCACATGCAAAAGAATGAGTTGGACCCTTACCTCACACCATTTAAAAAAAAAAAAAACCAAACCTCTAAATGGATCAAACACCTAAACATCAGAGACAAAAACAATAAAACTCTTTGAAGAAAACATACACAAAAAAAAAAAGCTTTATGGCATTCAATCTGGCAATGAGTTATTAGATACGAGACTAAAAGCACAGGCAAAAAAGGAAAAACTGGAAAAACTGGGTTTCAATCAAACAGAAAACTTTGATGCTTCAAAGAAAATTTATCCAGAGTGGGAAAACCACAGGATGGGATACAATATTTGTAACTCATATTTGATACGAAATTAACATCTAGAATATGTGGAAAAAAAAGAAAAAACTACGAATCAACAACATAAAAAAACCCAGTTAGAAAATGAGCAAAAGACTTGAACAGACATTTCTCCAAAGATATATATACAAATGGCCAATAAGTAGAAGAAAAGATATTCAACAATTACTAGTCATTAATGACATGCAAATCAAAACCACAAGAGAAAGTGAAGGGGGGTCGGGAGAGAGAGAGGACATATTAGAAGGATACAGAAAAACCTCATGCTTTACTGGTGGGAATGTAAAATGGTATAATCACTGTAAAAAACAATATGGTGAGTCAAGTAGTTGAACTTAGTACTACCATATTATCCAGGAATTGCACTCCTTAAGTGTATACCCGAAAGAACTACAAGCAGAGACTCAAATACATGTATACCAATGTTTCCTGCAACATTATTTATAATAGCCAAAAGGCAGAAGTGCCCATCAACAGATGAAAAGATAAAGTATGGCTGGGCTACTCTCTCTCTCATACACACACACACACACACACACACACACACACACACACACGGAATATTATTCAGCCATAAAAAGAAATGAAATCCCGACACATGCTACAACATGGATGAACTCTGAAAACATTAAGCTAACTGAAATAAGTCAGACACTAAAAAACACATGTTTTATGTTTCCACTTATATTTGACACCTAACTAGGTTAAATGCAGAGAAATAAGAAGAACACAGATTATCAGGGCTGGAAAAGGAATGGCATAAGGACAGACTGTTGAATGGGTAAAATCTTCTGTTTGGGATGATGAAAAGGTCCTAGATAATTTAGTGGTGATATTTAAGCAACACTGTTTCCATTAAATTATACACTTAAAAATGGCTGAAATTATATTTGATGGTATGTACATTTACCCACAATTAGTAAAATTTTTAAGTGAAATAGTAAAATTGAATTATCACATGTGAAAATAAAGTTGATTGGCAGAGGTAATAAAACTTGATAAAAATTCACTGTTGAAAGCTCTAACAAAAGGGTGGGTATTTTATAGACACTGACTGGGAATGCATGCCAATGCAATGTTTCTGAAGAGTGTCTTAGCTATTTCTCAAAATGTCACAAAAACATTTCTAGCTTTCACTCGTTCATTCACTCTAATTCTATGACACTGCATTGAGGGGAGAGAGAAGAAACAGGCACAAAAACTTTAGCACAAAAATGTTTCATGTTTAAAATAGTGTGATACTGGGCCTCTCCGGTGGCGCAACGGTTGAGCGCTGGGTTGCGAAGCTGCCCGCAGCCTCTGCGACGCCGGTTCGATCCCCGGCTGCTCCCTGGCCACCGGAGGAGGGTCCCACATGGCGCGCAGACCTCTCCTGCCACCCGCTGCTCCCCTCAGCAGTGTACTTCGGTCCTTCTGCCTGCTCTGCTCCCCGCTCTGGTGAATTCTCTCACCCTCCCGCGCTTCTGACTGTACCCAGTGCTTGTATAAATAAATAAAATAAAAATAAATCTTTAAAAAAAATAAATAAATAAAAAATAAAATAGTGTGATACTATCCAAAAATAGGGAACAGAGTAAATATAATGACCAGACACACATAACAGATTTTTTAAAAGGCATATCTTAGAAAAGTGTCTTAGACAAATTATGACAACGAAAACATGTAACATGTTATAAGAAGAGAAATAACGTTACGTTACCCTATTTTGTTTTTCCTTAACACACATACCTGCTTCATCGGTGATTATCCCTCAACTAAGTGAGGGACCTTCGCCATGTGTTATCCAGATAATATCAACTGGGTGAAAGAAGGCCTCCTGGGAGAAGAGGTGATTGACTACTACAGACAATACCAGAAGGCTCCAAGCTGGGAATTGGTCTACCTTACTATTTGTCATTGTCCAGAAATTAAAACTAAAGGATTAAGAATGTCTATGTTTAAAAGTCAGCAGGGGGCACCCCATTCAATGGTATAATTTAAGTTTTAGCTGAAATGTTCTATCTTGTTGGTTTCTTTTTAATGAACACACTGCAAACCCTCTCAAAAGTTACCTGAAAATCCAATTTTATAATGCCAGGTTTTACCTATAGAACAGGGCCTCCCTGGTGGCACAAGGGGTTAAGACACAGCCTGTGGAGCTCTCTGCAGCCTCTGCAGCACGAGTTCGATCCCCGGCCAGGGAGCTACCCACATGGTGCAGCAGACCTCTCCTGACTCACCCACTGCTCCCCTCAGCAGTGTATTTCAGTCAGTCTACCTGTTCTGTTCCCCACTCTGTCTCTGATGAATCCTCTCACCGCCCCACCCCCCATACCTCTGGCTTGTACTCCAGCTCTTGTATGCATAAATAAATCTTTAAAAAACAAAAAGCTACAGAACAATACCATGTTGTGAACACCTATTGTTTCCCCCTTCCCCCCATTCTGCAGCATAAAAAAGTAATGACTATGCTACCACTAAAAACCACATTGCACAAAACCCCTTCACCTTCATGTTTCATGTACTTCCCCAGACAATAATATAAGGTTAACCAGCTTGCTGGTAAATACTACAAATTCCAAACACCCAACATACACTAAGGACCATGAAGAACCAGGCACAGTGCAAGGTATTTTTTTTCATTCTATTCTTACCTTAACCAAAGTTTAATTGACCAAAAAAAATTTTTTTTGATGTAGCTAGTCTATTTCCATTTTACAGAAGAGAAAACCACGATTCAGAAGTGAAAGTAATTTGCCCAGAGAGGCAGATCTGTGACCTATATCCTGGTCTGTCCAAATCTGAAGGCTGTATAGTTTTATCCTCTCACACAGACTCCCCAGGAAGGTGAGACTCAGAAAGTAATCATCTGCCCAGACCAGTTAGAGCCAAGCCTTCCAATGCTTACCCAATAAGCTTCTTGCCATGCTATGCCGCCTCCATAAAAAGCAAGTACATCTCTTACCATCAGGAGCTCACAGGCACCAACAGATTTTTTAATTTTTTTTTAATTTTAAATAAATTTTATTTTTATATTCCCCATACAATTGCAACCCCCTTAATTTGACCCCAATCCCTCCCCTCCCTGCCCCCCACCCCCATAGAGTGTCTCTAGTTCATAGTTTTTTGTTGATTTTGATTTTCACTTTCTTATAGTTATTCATTTTCCTGGTCCCTTATTTAAGTTTTCTAGATTCCTGCTATGAGTGAGACCATCCGGTATTTTTCTTTTTCTCTCTGGCTTATTTCGCTGAGCATGATCCCTTCCAGCGCCATCCATGTTGCTGCAAATTGCATGTGTTTATCTTTTTTGAATGCTGAGTAATATTCCATGGTATATATGTACCACATCTTCTTGATCCAGTCATCTATTCTTGGTATTTACCCAAAGGACACAGAAACATCAATTCCAAAGAGCACCTGCACCCCTATGTTTATAGCAGCACTGTTTACAATAGCTAAGCTTTGGAAACAACCCAAACACCAACAGATTTTAAACAACATCATTAGGAAACTAGATGCTACATAAGGGGCAAAGTCTCTGGAAGCATAACTAAATTAAAATGCAGGGATCAGCAGTAAAGTATTTCATAAAGAATACTCTGAAGAGTAAGCATCTAATAGATTCCATGTGTGATTTATACATAACCCCAGAATTGTATTTATATTAAGGTAAAGACTGTTTTGAAATCTTTTTACATTTATAATTAGGATGCTTTGAGAAATTGCCTGTGATTCAGTTACCATGACTTCAGAATATTTCATGAGCAGCATTTAGCACATGCTTTTGATAAGTACGTGTGTCATAACTGCATAATAAAGTAGTGAAGAATAACTTATTAAAATATAAATGTTACTTACATGTCCCAGTTTGGAGCTATTCGCAAATGCTGGATTAGCAACTGAAACTAGAATAAAAAAATTAAGATGTACTTTTCATGCATGAAATCACACAGAAAGTGACCACTAAGTTAACAAGTCTGACCTATATACAACTGAAATATGAATTTGATAGCAAGATGTTTACACAAATGCAAAAGCACTAAATACATGAATGAGGTAAGAATAAAGACAAAGAATACTTTGTTTCTCTACCCAGTTGTATATTTGAAATGGGCCCACCCCTCACTCCACAAACTCATGCCAAGTACCAAATAAGTAACCTAATGCTATCCTGAAAGCAAATGAGCTTAAGTTTTTTCAAGCCAGTTGCCAAATGAGGGCCCACTCTGGAAAATGCCCCAGATCACTATAGCTGCTTTTTGAAAATAACTTCAAAAGCTCTGCCCAATATCCATGATTTTACTGATGAACGAACACAGCCCTAGAGATACTATTAATATAAGAAAATGAAAAAAAGATTCGAGGTCTCCTCTGCACTGCATCAGAAACCTTGGTGTTTACCAGGTCTATTCAGGAAAGGAGCCCCTGCTCCAGCAACTAATAAAAAGCTCTTATAAAATATTTTTTCATATCTGACTACATAATTATTACAAGTAAAACTAAAAAGCAAGACAGAATGTTACAAAATCACTGAATATGTCCAAAATCACAGCCCATTCAACTCTATTAGACCTAAGGATGACACAAAGGATATTTTTAGTAAACATACCATCTTGATAAACCACTTTTTTTAATTGTAATTAAATATTTTCACACTTGTTTGAATCTCTATAGAAATACAAATGTTATATACCGAAGACATGCTGGAAAGGCTTGCAATCTCACTACCTACCAGTGGGGAGTGGAGGAGCCTGGTGGCCACCTCCCTGTGACCAGCCACCACACACAAGTAGCAAAGGAGATTGAGTTTGGCGCGGGAGGCCCCCAGGCCTTTCTCAGTGGAGTCAATCTGTGAGCACACTTGTTGCAGAAAGTCATTCCACTCTTGGTCTTTTAGAAACACCAGTTTATCCACTGAAAAGGAAACAAATAATAAGTGTGGACATCATGCAAAAGCATTACGAGCAAAGCCAAATATTACAAGAGATATAAAATAGAATACAGAATTTCGATAGCTACATAAAGGCAAAGAGAACTGCTAACTTCACAAGGCCGAATCCAAAAAACTCCAAAAATGACACAACTTTCATAATTTCTATGGTCATTTCTTTTTCAACCCATGGAGGCTTTTTTAATGAGGTCAACGACAAACTATGCTTTGAAAAAGCAAGCACATGCTTCAAGGAGAATTATCCTGCAACTGAGAACCCAACAGAACACAAAGTTAAATAAAATCATGTTATGAAAAAACAGATAGCCTTTGTATAAATAAAGCAATCTGTATTTAAAATACTGGAAAAAGTCAAAAATGTTTACACTTGTAAAAAGGCTCCAATGAAATGACTGTTAAGCATAATCACATGAACATGATACCTGAAAGTTTAAGCCTCCTACCTCCAAATCCCTTCACAAACAAAAGACAAAACTAGGAAATGAGATGCCATCTAAAATTAACATAGTTTCAGCTGATCTTTATCTTTGTTTATCTTTAAACAAAGTAAGAATAATAATTTCTTAAAATAACTCAAACTAAAGGGGAAAGAGAAAGGAATATTATTTCGAGATAATAATTCCCTCGATTTTCAGAAAAAATGACATGGTTTATTTAAATTTAAACATGTTGTGTTTAAATTTATTTCTATGTGATTTTAAATCATGGATTCTACTCTAGCTCTTAAGAATTTTCCTGATCTCATATACCTTAAAATATAAACAAAATATATCAAAATTTAAGATACAAAAAAATTTCTTTTGTTTACTCTAAATAAGACTTTTCATTAGCTAAGAGGAAACTTAATCATCCTTTAAGCATCTCCTTTTCCCTAATTTCTACTTTACCCCACAAAAGTAAACCATCTGATCCCATTTCTCAGCTGCCTGCTCCCTCAAGTAGAATGTCAATTCTTCATTAAGGTCTACAAACCTTTGCACCCACAATAGCACCAAAAATGTTGGATAGTCAACTGCATCTAAAGGTGAAGGACAAAAAAAAGGACTTACCCACTCAACAGAAAACCTAAATTTCCCATCCATAAGAGTACAAGGCAGCCCCGACTGCTCTGAGTAAAGTGAAAGGTCTGCAGATATGGATTACAGGTTGTTTATAATTTGCCTGAATTTCCCAAGAACTTAGTCAGTTGGCCAAAAAAAGGGAATTTAGTTATTCATAAATAAAATATTCCTTTTGCTGTGAAATTTTCTATTTGTATTTGACGGCAAACTACATATTTGATTAATCCTTTATTATCCTACCTGAATGTGCTGGTAGATGTAATATTTTTGGATCAAATTTAACTGGTGGTTGCTTCATTATCTGTGGTTTAAAAAACAAAAAACTTTGAGACATATTTTGAGGCATAAGTTGATCTCCTGATAGAAATTCCTCTATCAGATTTGAAGTAAATGAGGATAGAAAAGAAAGCTGTAAACTTTGTCATCAAAAATAAGCATTCAATAAGCATTCAAGCCTCAAAGTATACACATAAAGATAATTTACAAAAATAAAATCATTATCAATTGATATCTGCAATAAAATTAAGTTTCACCTATTTTGGATTACTTTTTTTTTTTAAACAACAAACATTTATTTATTATTTTTGCATAGAACAACTGGGATGTAGGCCAGAATTGTAGGGAATGGGAGGACTCACCAGAAACAGAGTGGGAAGCAGAATGGGTGGAATTACTGAAATACACTGCTAAGGGGAGCAACAAGCAAGACAGGAGAGATCTGCTGCACATGTGGGTCAGCTCCCTGGCTGGAAATCAAACTCAGGCCATAGTGGTGATAGTGCTGAGACTTAAAACCCCTAGGCCACCAGGGAGGCCCTATTTTGGATTACTCTTAAGCTTACTTACCTCTAGGTTAGAAAGTAATCGTGGGTACCTGCCAAGGTGGCACTTATCCACCTAAGTGCCAAAGGGGATACAAAGATATAAAAGACAAAGATGGGGCCTCCCCGGTGGCGCAGCAGTTGCGTGCTGGGTTGCGAAGCTACCTGCAGCCTCTGCAGCGCCAGTTCAATCCCCAGCTACTCCCTGGCCACCGGAGGAGGGTCCCACATGGCGCGCAGACCTCTCCTGCCGCCCGCTGCTCCCCTCAGCAGTGTACTTCGGTCCTTCTGCCTGCTCTGCTCCCCGCTCTGGCTCTGGTGAATTCTCTCACCCTCCTGCACTTCTGACTGTACCCAGTGCTTGTATAAATAAATAAATAAATCTTACCCCCCCCAAAAAAAAATACAAAAAAAAAAAAAAGACAAAGATGAAAGTCACCACTCTATTTCCAGAGAACTGATACTCTGGTTGAAAAGATCAGACAGACATGTTTAACAATAACCAAAAAAAGCCATCAAATAAGTAACAATTCAAAACAGGCAAAATAGAGAGAAATGAAATATATATATAAGAAAATGCAGCTAGCACTTCAGGAGATGGGGTCAAAACAAGGGTTCACAGGTTGAAGAGCTAGGAGTGGGTTAGGGTCTCGAAGGACGGTTAGGCCTTGATGGCTATGTTAGAGAGAGCATTCCAGGAAGCTAGCACAGCATTCAAGGAATGTGCACAATTTCTTTAAGTGAAGAAACCATGTATTTGGACCCATGAGACACTTCATTTTGAGAATTTTAATAAAAAATTCCACCATCATTTCTACATCTAACTTCTTCAAAACTTCTGTAAATAGCACTATTTAAAATCTTTACTGGTAACATTCTTGCCAAAAAGGCATAACCTCATTCTAATCATGAGAAACCCTTCAACAAACCCAAATTAAGGAACATTCTACACAATACCTCATGGGTTCTCTTACAAGTGCTAAGGTCAGGAAAGACTGAGAAATTACCCCAAGGTCGTGAAAGGAAAGACAGCAAGAGACTAAAGAGGCATAGCAACTAACTGTAACATGACATCCTAGAACAGAAGGACATCAGTGGCACAACTAGTAAAATCTGAATAGTGTGGTAGTTTGATTAGTAGCACAGTGTCAATTCTTTGATTTTGCTAACCATACTACAACCCTGTAATATGTTAACATTAGCAGAAGCTGGGTACAAGGTATGTGGGAACTGTACTATTTTTTAATCTTCTCTATAAATTTACAAATAACTCAAAAATAAAGTGTTTTTTTAAAAAAAAATCTACCAACTACGGTTTCCCAGAAACAAGGTATGCTTGCTAAAAGAAATAAGAAATAATATGATCAAAATATATCACAAATTACTCCAGAAGCTCCACTGGGGAAATGTCCCATTACACATCAAATTTAGCATCATATGCAGCCATTCTGCCAGATAGCTCCACAGTTAGCTCCATTATGCAAAGCAGCTAGGTAATCTATATTAAATGTTGCCTATCTAGTAAATAAATATGCATTCAAGAATCCATTTTTTTCTCAACTACAGTAATGTCCCCAATGAGATGAAAGTCACAAATTAATGCCAAAAAAGATATTTTTTAAAAGGAAAATTGAAATTTTCTACCACAAAACAAGGTTTAGAAAGTGAGTGTGCTGGGAGTCTAGAAGACAATGGAAAGCAGAGAAGTTAATATTTTTCAAGAGAGTACACGTCACTCCCTAGTAAAATGGTATTGTACTCTAAAAGATATGAAGCGACAGAAATCACAATGAATTAGAAATACATTGTGAACAATAACCCCACAAGCTCCCAGGGTCTCCCCACCATCTATTACCCTGTAGTCCTGATAACTCTGAGAGGGTGCAGTCTCCGAGAGATCTGTCCACCCACCCCCAGCCTCTTGAGGGGTACTCACTGACATCTGCCTTCAAACACAGCAGCAACCAGAATATTTAGAATCCTACGTACATATGAAGAAAGGAAGGAACTGAGAGCTAAGGCCTAATGGCTAGAAGTCACCTCCCTTTCCTTGGCCTGTGGACGGTAGGTGGTGATGTAGAGGTGATGCACAGAGAGGAGAAAAGTCACCTCTCCAATAAAGTGGAAGTAAAGGCAAGAAGGAGAGGGTTACAAACAGGTTGAGAGTTAGAAACGTAGATGTGTGACATGATGAAATAAACGCAGGCATCAAGAAGAACAGGAGAGAAAAATGACACAAAGAATATTTGAAAGAAACTATCACTCAGATCGTAGACCTCAATGAAGCCTGAAACTCAGTCCTCAACCATTAGGGCATCTTTCCACACCTTCGGATTGTCGATAATTGGGGTGACCACAAGATCTGAGTCTGTGTAGATAAGCTCTTTCATCTGGGATTCCAGCTCCTGCTGACTCAGGTGTCCACTTGCAATCTGAAATAACAAAATTTAGACTCTGTTTCCATAACTGACAAACAGCTTTAAAAGAATGAGCCACTAAGATGCTGAGTAAAACATCACTGAAAAAAGCCACCCTTATTAATGTACCTGAATTGTCATCCAACAACACTTTCATAGAGAGTCTCATTTCACCTTCTCAAAAATCCCACATTACATGTGTCATTATTCCTAGTTTATAAATGAAGAAAACAAGACCCAGAGAGTAACTGACATTCTCACATTTACAGCAAAGGCTGGTTCAGACTAGGAAACAAATCTTCAATAGTTTGATGTTCTAAATTATGATGAGGTAAACTGGTCTTTCAATTACCAGCATCAATCAAACACTAATCAAGTTCTGCTTTACACAATATTCAATATAAAGTTAAAATTACAGCATAAAATTTTTCAGGCTAAGATAAACAGAACCAAAAAAAAAAAAAAAAGAAGAAGAAAAACATTTCAAGCTGAAATACTGAACTAAGTGTTAAAACATCTACATCTTCATAAAACCTAACTAGAGTGACACATAATGTGCTCTAGTAAAACAAAACGTTATTCCTAGTTAGACAGAAACTCTATTCATGCCGCAGTATTTCACATCAGAAAAAAAGGACAATTTTGCATTAAGAACTTCTATTGAAATAGCAACCAGCAAACTGAAAAAAAAAAAAAAAAAAAACAGAAAATCTAGTTAGTACAATGAAGGAAGGAAATTATCCAAAATTGAGGTAGGGGCATAAATACAGGAATAAAATAATAAGTTAATAAAATTCCCAGAAACTGTCCCATGAAACTTGAGAAACAAATATATAAAAGCCCAAAAGGAATATGGAGGAAATTTGCATGCGTAAAAAAAAAAACTTTAGACATTTAAGAACGTGGGCTTTCAATATAGAAAGACTGGAGTAGATTTACTTTATCACAATTATGTAACCTCAAGGACATTAAAGAGCCTTTCTAAGTCATTTTTACATCATCTTTAATAAAATTTCTGGACTGTGAGGAGTAAATATAGAGGATTTTAAAGGCTTGGCACTATTCAAGCAAAGACAGTTACAGTTAACGAAGTTCTATTTTCATTTTTTCTACAACTATTACATGAGTGTTGTAATTGAATAAGTGTCATTTTAAAACTTATTAAACTAGTTCACAGTAATTGATCACAGCTTGAATATGCTCAATGAAATAATTATATACACCCCTTTATAATAACACCTGCCAGAAGTTTCAACATGTCACATTTCAGAACATATTTTTTACTTTTGTACTGATTTTCTACTTCACATGTATCTTTTATAACCCATAAGTTTCACACAATCCAAATACATTTCACATTACATAAAAATTACAGTAACAATTGAAAGTAATATATCTGTCAAGCAATAAATACAATAAAATGTAACTTTAAAAAAATCTTTTAAATTCAAAATATTTCTGCTTTCAAGCAAATGATAGAAAGAAATCAAAGACCTAAATAAATGGAAAGATATTGTGCATTGACAATATAAAGGGAAAATATTGTTAAGTTGGTAATACTCTACCAAACTGACCGATAGATTCAGGATAATTGCTATCCCAAACCTAACTTCCTAACAGAAACTGACAAAGTAATCCTAAATTTCATATGAAAACACAAGGGATCCAGAATAGCCAAAACAACCTTGAAAAATAACAAAGTTCAAAGCCTCTCCTAACTTCAAAATGTATTTAAAAGCTAAGCGATCAACAGCCTAGGCTACTAGCATAAGGAATGCATAGACTAAGGGAATAGAAAGTTCAAACCTCTAGCAACAGTCAAAAGACAATCAAATGGAAAAAAGAATTATCTTTTCAACAAATGGTGCTGAGACATCTAGATACTCAGATGCTAAATAATGAAGCTGGTCCCCCTATCTCAAGCCATACATAAAAACTAATTCAAAATAGATCACAGACCTAAATGTGAGAGCTAAGCATAAGCATAAGCCTTTTGACCTTGGAGGAAGCAATGATTTCTTATTCATTTCACCAAAAGCACAAACTCACACAATAATAGTTACTATGTACCATATTAAAAGCTTTTGTGCTTAAAAGGACACTGTGAAGAAAATAGACAAGCCACAGAATGGAAGAAAATGGTTATAAATCATATCTAAAACATAATGAGAATACCCAAAAAAAATGGGCAAAGAATTTGAATAGACTCTTCCAAAAATAAACAAATGGCTAATAAGCATACAGAGAGATGCCCTACATCCTCGACCATGTGAGAAATGTAAATCAAAATCACAAGATATAATTTCACACTCATGAGGATAACTAGAATCAAAAAAGAGATAATGCAGCATTATTCACAATAGTCAAAAAGTTAAAGCAACCATCTGTCCACCAGAGGATGAATGAATAAATGAGTGTATACACACAATGGAGTATCACTCAGCCTTAAAAAAGGAAGGAAATTCTGACACAGGTGGATGAACCTGAAGACATGATACTAAGTAGAATAAGGCAGACATGCAAGGACAAATATTGCATGGTTCCATTTTTATGAGGTGACCAGGAAATTCATAGAAGCAGAAAGTAAAATCATGACCGCAGGGATTAGGGGCAGGGGAAAACAGACAGCTATTGTTGAGTAGATACAGGGTTTCAGTTTGGGATGATAAAGTCCCCAGAGAACAGTGGTGATGGTTGTAAAACAATGTAAATGAGCCTCACGCCACTGAACTGTATGTTTAAAAATGGTTTAAAAATGATAAATTTTATGTAATATATATTTTACCACAATTTAAAAAAGAAAGACATTAAATTTTGGTGAGGATATATAAAAGTTGGAATCCCATTCAATGCGATAATGCAAAATGATACAGCTGCTCTGAAAAATGGTTTGGCAGTTCTTCAAACGGTTAAACTTGGACTTACCAAGTGACTCAGCAGTTTCACGCCTGTGTATGTAAAGAGAAACTAAAAAATATGCCCTCAGAAACATGTACGCAAATGTTCATAGTAGCAGTCTTCATAACAGCTAAAAGGTAGAAAGATCTCAAATATCCATCCACTGGTGAACAGAAAAATTAAATGTGGTATATACAAGGCAATATGATCTGGCAATAAAAGGTAATATAGTATTGATATGTGCTACAATTTGGAAAAAATTTAAAACATGTTAAGTGAAAAAAGCCAGTCACAGAAGATCACAGAATGGATTATTCCATTCATATTAAATGTCCAAAGTGGCAAACTTATATAAAAACAGAAGGTAGATTAGTGGTTGCCTCAGGGGAGAGGGCAGAAAAATTGGGGAGAACAGGAGAGACTTAAACAGTCCCTCTGTGGGCTGATGAGTGTTCCAAAATTGCTGTGGCAACTGTATAACTATTTTAGAAGCCTGTGAATTGTTTTTTTTTTTTTAAATCTTTTACCACGATTTTTTTTTTTTTAAGATTTGTTTATTTATACAAGAGCTGGGGTACAGGCCAGAGGCGCAGGAAGGTGAGAGAATTCACCAGAGACAGAGCAGGAAGCAGAACAGGCAGACAGATCGAAGACACTACTGAGGAGAGCAGCAGGCAAGACAGGAGAGGTCGGCCCCGCCATGTGGGTTTCTCCCTGGCCAGTCGGGAATCGAACCTACGCTACAGAGGCTATGGACAGCCTCACAGCTATGCACTCAACCTGCTACACCACCGGGGAGGACCTGAATTGTACTTTTTTAAATGAGCACATTTTATGGTATGTATGTTAGTTATACCTCATAACAGTGCTGGCAAAAAAGGAAAAAACTATGAAGCAACTCTTGAGGGAGTAGAAAAATCAATGATAATTAGGAGGTAAATTTTGTAATTTTGAACATAGCTCAGAGAACCACTTGCAATTACTATTCTGAGCCTCTATGTTTTGTGTATGGAAAAAAAGGCCTTCTCAGCTCACCTTGATCAGAGGAGGAGGAGATGTCTTCTGAGGTGAATTTTGAGTCAGATCCTCACCAGGGCTTAATCCCATTGTGGTACTAGTTCTTGGGGTAGGACGAGAGCTGAAAAATGAACACCAGTGAACATTATTCAGGTATCAGAAACTTTATTCTGTTTACTTTCTCTGGGATAATGCACATGTTGTGAGAAATGGTAGCAAAGATAAGTAATAAGTTATAATCTGCAAAGATTTTTAATGAATTCTCCTACATTTGTAAATGGTGGCCAGACCCTATGGGTCCTTCTATTACTACTCCTGGCTCTCTGATTTAGAATTTTTTAAGATTTCCTTCCAATCAGATCATCAGAGCTTTTTTAATGAAGTCCTTCAAATTTGCAAATATCAGGATTCCCACCTCTCTCACTTATGTCTTTCTTCATTTACTAAATAAGCACTTAGCTATTATCAGATATTGTAAAAAAAAAAAAATTAAAAGCTGAATTTAAAATACCTGAGATATATATAAATTTTAAATACATTTAAATGTGAGTAAAACAAATCAGGAAACTGTAGTTCAAATTTATTAGCTCTATATCATTAAATAAAACTATTTTCCTAGAAGACCAAAACTATAAATATCTAAATATTACAAAAATTGTTAAATACATTGGTCTTAACACTTTGACACTATCCTGACATTTTAATTATCTCAATGAGTACAAACATTGCTTAAGCTCACAATTTAAAAGAAAATTAAATATAACCTGTTCTTTTCTTTCTGTATCCAAATATAGAAGCTGGACTTCTGAAATTTTAAACTCAATTCTATTTCAAGTCAAAGTGCCATCCTTGTAAGTAGGAAAGATAATTTGGTTTGGTCAAAAAAAATTTTAATGTATGTTTCACCAGCCACACTTAATGGTAACTTTGACAGTGGAAAGTAAAACTGGAATTCATATCCCTGTCCTTTATAGCTGAGTAACATGGCTTGGGACCAGGACAACACACATTTTAAGAAAATTTTACTTTCCTCTCCCATGGATTCCTCACAGTTTTGCCATTTTGCATACCTGAGAAGAAACATGGACTCATTCAACTGGCCCTCAGTAGTGCTCTTAGGCCGCAAGTCAGATGGATTTTCTGTGGCAAGAAAGTAAAACATTATCCATAAGGAACAAAACTAGCATGAGCTGGACATAACACAGGCAGCGGCTGAAGAAGAAAGAGATCACAAATGAGGAACTCTCAGAACCCATATCCTAAGCAGCAGGAGCATGTTCTCATGCAAGCTCACCCAGTCTGAAGGAGCGACTGAGTCGCTGGCCGCTCTTCTCCACCTGTGCTTGTGCGCGCTGAGGGTTCCTTGAAAGCCCCTTGGAACCTTGTGGCTCAGAATACTCCATCGCCTTCCTGCTGTTTAACAGAAGAAAGTCAATACAACCAGACTTACTTTGGAACTCTCTAGAGTTGTTTGTGTAGAACAAGAAGTTGGAAAAAATAAATCCATGCAACATTTGGCAAAGCCACCTAGTTAAGAAACTAGCTTATCCTTGAAAAACTGAAAAGGGACTTACTATGGGCGAGACAGTGTCTACAGACCTGGTCTCTGAAAATTAAAGGACATTGCACAGACTAGGGAAAGGAAGCAGAATCCAAAATACCAGCACGCCAGCAGCAATAAGTTTCCACATTGCCTGGCATGAACTCAAAGGCAGTGAGTACAGACAAGTCTGCCATTTCTGTTCCAAGGTTAAGGAAAGGGAACCCAAGAAGACAGAGCAGGTAAGGGGAATCCCCTAGATGTTTTTCCCTTTTGACTTGCTTTAGCTCAGGTTATACTGTAGGGTGGGTGGGGACAGCAGCAGCTGCTGGCCAGTGCCCAAAACTCTGAGGGAGGGGAATCCTCTTCTCTGATCAAACAGCCATGAACCCAAGAACGTGAGGCAAAACCCTGCTGCTCTGCTCTCTCGTTTTCTCTCCAATTCCCACCACCTGACCACAGGGCATCCAGCCCAAACATAAAGACTTGAATAAACCAAGACTAAGGGAATGCAAAGGGGAATGCAAAGCTGGTACAACACTTGAAAAACAATGAACAGAATGAGTTCATTGCACGCAGGAGTATAAAGGAGGAAAACCACAAGGTTCTATCAATTGACACAAAAAGGCTTTTGACAAGACTCAATTTTCATTCGAATTGGAAAAGGGCAGCTATGAAACACTTCGTGGGGCAAGGCTGAACACTTCTATCCCAAAATCAGAAAACAGGCATGAGTTCTCTTTCATCACTCCTGATTCTCTATGTGACTGGAAGAGTCCTAGCAAGGGCAATGTCTGAAAAAATATGACATACAAATTAAAATTAAAAAGGAAGATGACAACTAAGGGCTGACACTGACAGAGCAGAGCTCAGTTTTCAGTCCCATGGAGACTGATACAATGCAGAGAACACAGTTGAAGCTTACTGGGACACAGAAACTCAAGTTTGGGAGGGGAACTTAAATAGCATTCAGACTTCTTGATCCAGTCCACTGAATTTGCCAAGGTTAAAAAGTGAAAATGAGATAACCATTTACCTAAAATTCTAAAATGGCAGTTACACACAAAATGACAAAGCAATGGCTAAGAATACTTATGCTTGGTTCCACATTTACCACTGAATGAGTGGGGTGTGGGGGGGAGTTAATTACCACAACTTTTCCTCTATTCAGCTACCTCCTACCTTGTCCTTTTCCAAATGCCATCACACCTTTGTAAGTGTGCTGGGCTAAGAAGATTTTTATAATAATAAAAATGAAGTATACTAGTTGGGATAATCTAGGTTATGCTTTGATAACATAAGCCCACAAATTCTAGTGGGGTAGCATCTTCCAGCTTTGCATCTTATCGTGCACAGAGTCATGGCAGAGAGCTGCAGATGACTGTGCTGACGGTACTCGCTGGGGGATGCCAATTCCATCTCGACATTTCTTCCCAGTTACCTCGGCAGGAGGAAGGAATGTGGCAAAACACACATTGGCTCTTCAAGTTTCTATCCAGGAATAACACACATCACATTTCCACACTTAACTTTAAAGGGGAAAATGAGATTCTACTCTGTGTTCTCCAGATGGGAAGCCAGTTATATTTGGTGAACAGGACTAATGACTTCCATATGATAATCAACTGACCAGAAAATGAGCAAAATCCAGAACACAAAATGTCATGACTTCTAAGCAACCCTTAATTAAACAAATGCTTGATTTCCTCCTACCCTGAAAGCAGAGAAATTGTTGCTGCATCCTTACAACAGTAATGGCAATGAGTGTTCAGTAGCCTTGCCCCTTACATAATGAAAAGTTTATAGTACCTGACGCTGGAATCCTCGGTGCTCAAGTCCTGATCTTCTCTAGTGAAAGCATCCTTCCAAAATGAATGCTGCAGTAGGCCCGTCCAAGTTAGTCTTCATAAAACAAAAACATTAAAATTCTATTTTAACATGACTACCACCATTACATGTATCAGATTTTACATTTAAAAATATCCCCAGGGGCCTTCCTGGTGACACAAGGGGTTAAGCGCTGCACTATGAAGCCATCTGCAGCCTCTGCAGCACAAGTTCAATCCCCGGCCAGCCAGGAAGCAACCCACATGGTGCAGCAGACCTCTTCTGACTCACCTGCTGCTCCCTTCAGCAGTGCACTTTGGTCAATCTGCCTGTTCTATTCCCTACTACCTCTGTTGAATCCTCTCGCACCCCCTCCCTGCCCCCCATCTCTGGCCTGTACCCCAGCTCTTTAAAAAAAAATCTCCATATGAATGTACCTCTGAAATTGTTTCACATGCTAATCTTTCACTTTATATGCAATTAATCTCTCAGACAAAAGCATCAGAAGAAATAATTAAGAAGCCTAATGGCACACAATGAGTCTGGCAATCAAAGATCAAAGGTCACAGGGGCCACTCCGTGGAGCCTGATGAAAACACTTCAGGGTCTCAAAACAGTTTATCAAGTCTACAAATGACTTAGAACTTTCAGTAAGCCTATCAGATACTATCAGCCCATAATTCTATCATGTTTTCATTCCCGGGATAGGGTAAATTGTTCTGTTCCACACATTTCACTTTTGTAGCTTCACTGTTAGAAGGCACTAAGATATAAACAAGAATATCAACTTCATGCCTTATATGTGTACAGTCACCCCTCTGTTTAGGAATCAAAATGTTATCTAGCCAGTTCACCCACGCTGAAATGACTTTAGGCTGTATCTAAAATCCAGCTGCACTTTCAAAACATTCATTTCATTACCAAGAGTATGCAACGCTATATTCCCCTTGGTTTTTGAAAGTTTAAGGGAAATAATTTATATTTTATTATTCAAGATTCCTTTATTAAAATGAAAGCTGCTTCAAACAAAATTAAAACACAAATGATAAAGGAAAGCATAGAGTTATTTTAAAATAGAGATATGTGAAAAAGATATTTTATGTCAAAGGTTCTTAAAACTCACTTATGGAGAAATAAGAATTGCCAATAAAGTGATATTTCTTTTTCATCCATCAGACTGACAAAAATTTACAAGACCAACAAAGCCCACAGTAGTAATAATGGGCGGGAAGGAGTTTTCTAAAGCTGCTGTAAGCATAAACCAACACATGTCCCTAGGTAAGCAGCGAATACTCAAACTTTATTCCTGTTCTTAGTCTTTGGCCAGCAATTGCACTTTGAGAAATTTATCCCAAGGAGGTAACTGCCCAAGTCAATGACAACAGAAATGTATCACAGGATATTTGCTATAGCAATGTTTAGAATATTCTAAATCAAGAAGCACTCTAAATAGTTATTACTATTACATGTTAGTTACCCCATGTATTACCCCATGTACATTCAAAATGACTAAGCAGATATGGTGACCACACCTGAGGGAAGAATCCCATCTTGTCAAAATATTGCCAAGAATGTAAAACGATGGTACTGTTACAGGGCAGGGAGAGGGGCAGCCCAAATCCTGCAAACCTGCCTATTCTAAATAGGGTTCTGCCATCTGCCGCATTAACACAAAACATGATACTTTAATGGGAAGGAACTTTAATACAATTAGGAAACAATACAGGTAAGGCAAAGAATCTAGTTTCTAAATCAAGCACCCAAAGTTACCCGTCCCCTCGTGGGTAAAACTCCATCCAAATGGGATTGGCCCAGAGCAAGGCCCCAAAACCTGCCACAAGTCTAAAGCATCTTCCAGCGGGGACCCACAGAAAAGGGTCAGAAACAACCAGACAAGCCCAGAAGGAAAAGAGCAAAATCAAAATCAAGATAAAAGCTGCCATCGACACCTCCCCACGGGTCTCACCCACATCTGTGTCACCCAGTCCACGACCAAAAGGCAAGCGAAGTTTCTTCACGAGTCTCTAGGCTCCATGTGCCTCCTCCAGGTCTCCTTTTGGCTCCATCCTGCTTCCTTTCTCAGTCTCCTCTGCAGCTTCTTCTCTCCCTGCTCAGCTCCACCCTCCCTTGGGTGGGGCAGGGAACCTAGAACCTCTCCCTTTCCTGGGGACCACCCTGTTACAGTACTTCATCCATTTAAAAAAATGACTAAGTAGATATAGAGCGAGCGAAAAGTAGGTTATAGAGAGGTACTGTTTATATAAAAATGTTCATACCCAGGGATATAAATCTATGGAAATGTAGATAAAACATTTCTTTTCAAAAAATGCATGGAAGACTGCCCACCAAATGAACACGAATCCTAAAAGCATTCTATTGTAAGCACAGGAGCTTTGTTCTGTAACTTACATGAGAATCAGCATTTCCTACTGCAGTTTTTTTATTATATTTAATGAAGACAGGGAATGCACTATTTTATATGCTACACGGAATCTATTCTTCATTTCACACCCTGAAGCAGAGACCCCAAAGATGTGCCCTACAAAGCCCAGTTACCTAATAGAACCAGAACTAGAAAACAGCTCTCCTTATCTCCCCGGTAAGGATCCCTCTCTGCCCATATGCCGCTTCTTCCTCCTCTACCCCATCATGCAATTTCTAACTCTCTGCAACCACTGCAATGCAGAAAGTTCACACTGCGCCTCCTATTCTCTTACTTGGTGTCCCCACCAATTATGACAGATTATCATAAAAACTCATCACATTAAAATAATGGTTAACTATTTTGACAGTATCATAAGACAACAGCTTGAAATCCGCAATGAAAAAATAATACACTGCTTGGATTTAGGAGTTACCAGAAAACCTGTCAAACTAGTAGGCAACTATTTCATACAGTAAAAGAGAAACTGACTTTGAAAATTCCTCATGATTAAAAATACCTGCAAATAGAAAGAACATACACCACTAATGTAAACTCAATTTTTTTTTTCTGAAAAAAGAGGGGGTTATTTGAATAGGTCTTTGTGTATTAAGAATAGTACTATTTTAGAAGTACATGAAAGGAAAAAAAGATTCCACTACCCACGCATTAAAATTAACTCATTAATTGATGCCATTATTAACTCACTATTAAAATACCATGCATACATACATTTTTTTTAAAGATTTATTTATTTATACAAGAACTGGGGTACAGGTCAGAGGCTCGGGAGGATGAGAGAATTCACCAGAGACAGAGCAGGAGCAGAACAGGCAGATAGACCGAAGTACACTGTTGAGGGGAGCAGCGGGTGAGACAGGAGAGGTCTGCTGCACCATGTGGGTATCTCCCTGGCAGGCCGGGAATCAAACCCATGCTGCAGAGGCTGCAGACAGCTTCACAGCACCGCGCTCAACCCTCTGCGCTACGGGGGAGGGCCCATACATACCTTTTCTGAGGATCTTTTTGAAGTAAACCATGAAGCAAATTAATGAAATCTGAAGAAGCTTTAGGAAAAGAAGAATCTACACACAAATTTCCAAAAAGAAAAAAGTGGTAAGTGACTACATACCCAACATCAACATTTAAAGTAATAGTATTTTAAGTACATAAATTATTTTTAAGAGAACATTGAATCCATGAATAACAATGACAGCCTCCATTTAATGGGGAGGAGGGTGACAGGAGAGAGCACAAATATAAAAACATAAACCTAAAAACTAAGTTCTGACTAACCTCTAAATTTTCTCTTTATTGAATAACCTCAGCAAGGATCACCAGCCTGACACTTGTCTTTAATTATTAATTATATGTCATTTTCTGAGGCAGTCTGAACTTGACCAACTTTGCTTTATAACACACTGTTATTAGAAAACTTGTAGTTTCTCTTATTTTTGAAGATTTTTAACAGGGAAATAAAAAACAACACAATATTAAGCTACTATCCAATTCCCCTAATCTCCAAATGTTTTATCCCTTTAAGTTAGCTAGATACATGCAGTGGCCAATTCATCAGGTCTCTGAAGAGTAGTGGCCTCAAAGACAATCACAAAAGACATCACACAGCACCCCGGAGACAAAGAATTAAATCAGATGGTGCTACAGGCACTGTGGCCTTGGTCTGACGAAGACCCTATGAGATAATGAACCAGCAGTATCCTGAATGGACATTGAATCTTCATTTTCAGATTTCTCTTCCCTGCATAAAAATGTTAACTTACAGGAGAAAACACAGCAAAAAAAAGTAATCCAAATTCATCATTACAGGAAATAGGAACAAATGATTTCTGCAGAAACTGAGACAAAGTGATCAAAGAAGAAGAAAGTTTTTTGTTTTGTTTGGAAAAATATAGACTATTCTTAAAATGTCATGTTTTTCTTTCACCTAGGGTCCTTGAAATATTGAAAACATTGTATTTCTTCCACTGATTACTTCTGATTTTTTTCTTTCAAAAACACATTCTTTTTTTTATAAAATCCTATTTTCATTTGTGAGTCTTAAGATCACTCTTCTTGTGGCACACAACGAAATGCTTTACTATGTGCCTTCTTTTGCTTTTCTTCTCTTCCCTTAAAACTGTCAACACTGGATTGTTATATTATTCACAATTTGTGTGATTAAGGTCCAGTACTATAAAACACTATAACTAGTTCCTTAAACACTATAGCTAGTTCCTTAAACTTTAAAACTTACCAGGCTAGCACTCTCATTAAGACTAGGACTGAGCAATGCCGGATTTGGTCCTATTCAAATACTAAATAGAAATAGTTACATGGGACATGAGTACAAATTAAATGGTACACCATACCAAAAAAATAAACAAACATTTGAATTTGTTCAATTTTTAAACCAGACCTTTTGATACAGAAGCACAAAATAATTTGTGTTTTTAAATGAGGGCAACTACTAGTAGTGACTACTTTCTATATCGCTTTCTAAAAAAAATAAATGGCAAAGGGGATGCTAACATTTCTAAAAATGTCAGAGAGTACTCATAAAATATAAATTTGGGGGGGGTGTATGAATCAACACAAAATAGACTTTGGATTAAAAATGCACATTTAATGTAAAATATGAATTAATTGCATATATAATGATAAATCCTACCTTTGGGAATAGGTGGCAAAGGATCTTCATAAAAAATCTTTTGAATTAATTCTGAAACACTTTCTGAGAAAAATGGAGGTTTTCCTGAAATCACATAAAAGCTTGCAAAATTAAACAATGGTTTGCTATCACCAGTAATTCTAAACAAGTCTTACTACAATAGCTTGGGATTATACAACTTACAGGGGAAAAAATATATATAGAGAGAGCAATACCTACTGGTTTTCTGATATATACCAGGCACACTGTTTAAAATTTTTATTTAGCCCACCTATTTGTTTTCTCTATATACCACAGATGAGTGAAATCATACTGTTTCTCTTTTTCTGTCACTTTCTCACTTAGCATAGCACCCTCTAGGTCCTTCCTGTCGTTGCAAATGGCAGGTTTTCATCTATTATATTTATATATATATATAAAAATACAATACATATATATAATATGTATATATACACATATATAAATTTGTATCTCTCTGAGTAATAATCCTTTTTGTATATAGACAATATCTTCTTTATCTGTTCATCAATCATTGGGCACTTAGATTATTTCTGTCACTTGGCTATTATAAATAATACCATAATAAACATGGGGGTGCATATACCTCTTCAAATTAGTGGTTCTGTATTTTGTGGGTCAATATCCATAAATGGAGCAACTGGATTGCATGGAACTTCTATTATTTTTATTTTTACTTGGGAGCTACATGTTTGGGCCTCTATATGTACACATGTTCCATTCACCTTCCACCAGACCACCTGTGCCAATACCCCATCTACTTCCCTCTCCTGTTTAAATATTTCTATATTTCTGTAATTCAAGATTTATCATCCTAAAAAGTAGAGGTGCAGGGCCACTGGACATATCTGAATAACTCATAGTTGCAGGTACATTTACTAGAATTTGTACTCGTAAACATAGTTTTTAAATTGTGAGGGACATTTCAACATTCTGGATGACTGTCACGTGAAAAAGTTCCTAGGAGTCTGCATATGCCTAGCCACCAAGCAGCTCAGTCAAAATTGGTGTATAAATAAAAAATTTAGAAAAACTAACTTTTTTTACATCTTACAGGTAAAATCATTGCAAACTAAAGATTTAACTTCTGTGTGTGCCTGTGTCTGAGTGTAGTGCACACACACATGCAGCTCTAATTTTAAAGTGAAGCAGAAAGCAATCACCTGAAAACATTTCATAAAGCAGACAGCCCAAAGACCAGAGGTCACTGGTGACGGAGAAGTCAGTGCCCTTCACAATTTCTGGTGCTGTATATGTAAGAGACCCTGAAAATAAAGTATAAAGAGCAGCTTCATCAGGCATTTACACCATTCCCCACCACAAATTTACCTAAAAGAGACCTGGCGAGGGGGAGAAGACACGAGGAATACATGCACGTGACTACCACTTGTGCTTAATTCATATATCAAAATATTTTCTAATTTTTAGGTTCCATCTTGAAGAATATACAAGAATATAAACATTTCGGAAATCCACTTGAGTTAGAGGTATGGCACTGTTAAGTATATTCCTTAATGATGTAAATAGTCCAAAGAAAAAGAAACTATCAAACCGTGACTAGAATAGGTTAAGTTATGCAACACTGACAACCCCAAATTCCCACTGACTTCAAAACAAAGACTTATTGCTCAAACCACACATCAACCACGGGCCCCTGTGAGCTACGAGCCTCACAAATACTCAAAGAGTGACTGATGGAGGCCCCATCTCAGCACACAGTTCTTCAGGCGCCAAGGTAGTGCAAAGAACGTAGCAGATTGCACGCTGGCTCTTCAAGTACCCGCCTCAAGGTGGGGACATCCCCTCTGCTCCCACACCCCTAGCTTTGGCCAGGTGGACGATGCAATCCTACTGGGTATCCAGGAGGAGAACAGAAAACATTCAGCAAACAGCACTAGGTACACCACACAGACTTTTCACGAAGTTTACAGGGACAAACACCAAACCACAGCCAGGAAGTTCCTTTATTTGCTAAGAGAAACTGAAGCTTGAAGGGAATGCTAACATTTCTAAAAATGTCAGCTAAATTTTAGAATGTCCCCTAAGACACATCTCTGGCAGATGCAGAACATGCTTCAAAACCCAGGGTTCTCTTCTCTCCCCAGGGTAGACTCTTTCCACTCCACCTAAAAGCCTCAAATCTTCCAATGAGAATGTTCTTTCCATGAAGTGGGTAATCACCAATCTCTTGGAAAATAAAATTCCACTGAGGTAAAACTTTCAGCAAATTATATCTCCAGGGCCCTCTACAGCCAGATCAGCAGCCTCGTGCATTTTTAAAGTTCTCCTAGGAGACATTTTTGCCACGCTATCACATTTCATACACACATGCACTCATTCAACACACACATTTACCCACACTTTGCTAGATGCTAAGGAAACAAAGACAAGACCCCAGGATGCTGGGGGCATCTGTTCAACACTTAACAGATGCTATATTAATATTAGTTGAATATGACTGTTTGGGGCTTCCCTGGTGGTACAAGGGGCTAAGACACAACCTATGAAGCTATCTGCAGCCTCTGCAGCATGAGTTCAATCCCCCTGTCAGCCAGGGAGCTACCCACATGGCACAGCAGACCTCTCCTGACTCACTCGCTGCTCCCCTCGGCAGTGTACTTCAGTCAATCTACCTGTTCTGTTCCCCACTCTGTCTCTGGTGAATCCTCTCACCACCCTCCCCCCATGCCTCTGGCCTGTACCCCAGCTCCTTGTATGCATAAATAAATAAATCTTTAAAAAAGAAAAAAAAAAGAATATGACTGTTTGTCTCTCTTCATTGCTAGAAATGTAAATTCAGGGAGGCCAGGGATTTTTGCAAATTTGTTCACATCCATCCTTGAATAAGGCTAAATTTTTGTTGAATAGATAAATGCAGAATTAATAAATGTGTTAATGAATAAACAAATATAAAATCCCTCCAGAATCAAATGGGGAAAGGCAAACTAATAGGAACACATTACATGGTAAGTTAAATGATAGCTTTATATATGTGATATTATAAAGGCAATAGAAAAGAGGAACCAAAACTTCAGTATTCAGTCCTATAAACATCTGCCCACTAGGGGAGCAAAGTTTTACTCAAGACAAAGTAAAGCACAAGAGGAAGTGTATTCCAAGAAAAGGGCACAGTAAGAATCTAGCTCCCCAGTCTCCACTGTATTCAAAACAAAGAGGGAACCCCTGAACATCTTCTTTAATTGCACATTAGTTATTCAGTACCATCAAACAAATACCTGTTAAGCCACAGTGTCCCAGACACTGAGCTAAGTGCTGAGGACGCAGCAGAAAGTGAGACAAAACTCCCTTCTGACATTCTAATGAGTGGTCAGTGACATACAGGCTCAGGCTAAGACACAGGCTTTGTTAGAGTTTCCCATGCCTTACACAGTATTAGATCAACATGGAAAACTTTAGGTCATGAACAAAGTCATCCCTATACTAGTCATCACTATACTGATTATTCTTCAATACATTATTTGAGTGGCAAAGCAAAAGGTCAGCATTAGCTCAACATGCAACTTAGGCAGCCCCCAAGCAGAGTTATGATCTAGAAGCTCTCCACATACCTCTGACTCGACTTTTCATATCTTTTTTCAGTACATTTTCCCCACTGTCACCTGCTCCTTCTTCTGCTGCCACCAAAGCAAAGAACTCTTCCAAATTTTCACCTTCCACTTTTGCCAAGCAAAAATTACTGAACTTCAGTGTGCCAGGTCCCTCCAAGAGGATCTATAAAGATTAAAACATGTGCTCAGAAACAAATTTACTCTGTGCTTCCATCAGTACCTCTTACAGTCACACGAAAGAACTTCGTACATTTGCTTTCCTGCTTCATCACAACTGAGAAAATAAAATGCTTACAACCTTTTTAAAAAGCTAAAGAAAAATAACTGAGATCTTTATAATAGAATCACATATTAAATTGCCCATTCTTGGATATATGTAAATGGACACATCACATAACCGTGAGGAACTACAGGCTTTTTTAGGGAAAAATAAAGAATCATGTATACGGAACAGTTTATACTCGCTAGTCCTTAATGAGAGTTCAAAGATTTGAAAACCCACCTGTCTGAGGTATTCACAAGAGGAAGTAAAATGTAGAGTTAAAAACAGGGTTTGGAAGTTAGAGGTCTGAATTTAAGCTTAGGTATGCCACTTATTAGCAGCCTGACCCAAAGTAGTTACTTAAACTTTCTAACTCTGAGTCTGATCACCTATGAAATGAAAAAAAAAAAAAAAAATAGTCTTAACTCTTCAGATTTAAAGATTGTAGGGATTAACTAAGGTTATTCATGGAGAGGGCTTTCAATAGTGACTGGCAAGTGCTAGAGCTCCAGTTGGCTAATATAACTTGGGATTAGCAGATATCTGTTGAACCCATGCCAGGAACTAGTGTTCTATCCTTTTACCTATTTCCTCTTAGTCATATAGAGTCATTAAAAATATTTCTGAAAAAAAAAAAAAAACTTTCTGAGGTGTAGCCACAAATCAGGAGGCTTTTAAATGGTCTTTAAAGCAAATTAAAGTTTATCCTTAACTTCCTGTCACAAATCTAAGGATGTCAGTCCAACAGTGATTTTTAAGCTTTCCTGAGTACCAGAGTCCCCTGGAAGACTTGTTTTAAAAAAAAAAAAATACTACTATGGCCTACTCCCAGAGTTTGATCAAAAGGCCAGGGGTGGGGCCCAAGAACCTGCATCTCTAACAAGTCCCAGGTAATACTGATGCTGATCTGCCAGGGCTCAGCAATTGTTTTTAATTAATAAATATTTGAGACTTTGCAGACCATAAATTATTTGTCCTGACTATATAATTCGGCAACCACCAATAATACATAAACAATAGGGTGTGGCTATGTCCCAATAAGACTTTATTTATAGAAATAGCCATCCTGCCCAACCTTTACCAACCCCAGTTGTAGAGTAAGGGTTACATTCTAAATCAATCTGAATGTCAGAGATTACAAGTAGCTGAGTCTAGATCTCATTAAGCAATACCCACACAAGGGCAGCTTCTGCTCTAAATCCTACTCATTTCCTCTAGGCACAAGCTGAACGTGGTTTTTATATTTCTCAATGCTTGGGGAAGAAATCAAAAGAAGATTATTACTTGACATGTGCAAATCATATTAAATTCAAATTTCAGGGTCCATAATGAAACTGTATTGAGCAAAGCCACACCCATGTCTGTACCTCTTGTCTACAGCTGCATTCAGGGCTCCCAATCCCCACAGTGAAGTGGGTACAGACTTGAGGCAAGTATATGAATATGTCAAACAAAAACTTCTCTTCATTATGCAGTTTTTATGTAATTTTTTTTAAGTTTTGGTTATGTTCACATGCATGCCATTTCTAATGGCCCTCAGTAATAACATTTGACAAGGAAATATTGCACTTTTCAGCTCACCGTGTATGAATTACAAAGGAAAAGCAGCAATCAGACCAACAGTACATACAATCCCTAAATGCATATGCACATAGAGATTATAATAGATGCCCCTGAGTAAGGGCACATTGCCATAAAGGATCCTAGAAGCTTATCCTAAATATAATGTAATCCTCACAGTCCCCTTGAGCCATGTCTGTATCACAGAGAAGAAAACTAACACACACAGAGGAAGGAAAGGAACTGGTCCAAGGTCACACAGTTTCTAAACATCAGCATTGACTGTGGCTCAGAAACTTAGCTCACTTCATGGTCCTACTACACTGAAGGACATTTATAGTTCTATCAAAAAAAAAAAATCTTATCCACAATATCAGGAATCATATTTAAGGAGCCAAAAGTGCCATTATCAAACTAAAATAATGAGCTTAAATTGTATACTATCATTAAAGAGCAAAGGGTGCTATTTCATAGATCTATTGAGTTTATCATTCACAATAAACTTAAGCAGCAATCATTACTCAAAGAACTCCGAAAGGGGAGACTACACATTCTAAAAGCTGCTTCAATAGGCAGCTAAATAGGTAGCTAAAATGGAGTACTATGTTTCCTTTTATTAAAAAAAAAAAAGTTAATTTAAACTTTCAAGATATTCCATATCATAATTTTATCTAAAAACAAAAATTTTGAGAAAACATTATAAATGAAGATACAGTCAGTTAGGAAATCAAAACTTCCATGAATTACCTTCCCAGGAGAAATGTCACAAAAGAGAATACCAAGTTGATGAAGATGATGTAAACCAGTAATCAGGTCAATCCCAAATTCTCTCACAACATCTTCTGGGAGGTTTTCATCTTGGGCAATAACTGTTTTTAAGGAACCACCTGCAAGTTGATAAAAATCACCCATTTTAACCCAGTAACATTACACAGTGCATCCAGGAGACTCCATGCCAAGAAACACCAAGCACTAAAAACAGATCAAATCAGTATGGCTGGACAGCCTCATGGGGAAAATGTGCATGAATGAACACAGTGGTCCAAGAACCTGAACAAAAATCCATGCCAAGCTCCAGAGTCAGCTCCCAGAGAATGAATTGTAAGTAAATAAGCAAGCGGGGTGAAAGAGAGACTCACTCTGGTGCTAAGAAATGCTCACTTCAGATCCCTCAGGGAATGAACAGATGCAAAAGTCAGTGGCAAACACAAACCTAAACTGCATTTAAACTGCGATGGAGCTTCCATATGATCCAGCAATTCCACTCCTGGGTATTTACCCAAAGGACACAGAAACATTAATTCAAAAGGGCACCTGCACCCCTGTGTTTATAGCAGCACTATTCACAATAGGTAAGCTATGAAAACAACCCAAATGCCCAAAAATAGATGACTGGATCAAAAAGATGTGGCGCATATACACAATTGAATATTACTCAGCAATCAAAAAAGATAAACTCATGCAATTTGCAGCAACATGGATGGAGCTGGAAGGGATCATGCTCAGCAAAATAAGCCAGAAAGGAAAAGAAAAATACCGATGGTCTCGCTCATAGCAGGAATTTAGAAAACCTAAATAAGGGACCAGGAAAAAGACTAATTATAATAAAGTAAAAATCTAAATCAACAAGCAACTATAAAACAGAGACACACTTGGGGTGGGGGGGAGAGAAGGGAATAGGATCAAAACAAGCGTGGTGGGAATTGTATGGAGACTATAACCAAGGTGAAAATGCATACATTGTGCAAAAAATGAAAAATAATGTAAAAAAAAACATAAAAAAATAAAGAATTGTTAAAAGAAAAAAATTAATATTATAGAAGTATAAAAAATTTAAAAAATAAACTGCATTATGCCAAGTACAGTCAGGTGTATTCCTATGCAAAGCCAGGTCATATCTGCAAAGCAATGCCTGGCAGCATTAACTCTCCTGAACAGTTAGAAAATCACTAACCCCTAGATGTACACACTGATGAAATAAGGCAGACATATTGTAAATTCCATTTCTGTACCTTTCCAAGATCCAGTGATAATCTAACTTTTTTTTAAGTCTCAAGATTACAAGAGGAGACAAAAAAAGCAACTCTTAGCTGGCATCTGAAAGTTCAATCAGAACCACTGTGAGGAAGGTAAGAAGTAAGTAATTTTTGGGGGTTTTACTTATTTTGCTTTGTGGGTGAAGAACCACATCAAACATGGGCCTAACTTGGAGTTGCCTTAGCACATAGCTCAGGGGTCAGAAGCAACTAAAGCAAAAATACAGGAAAGTCCCCGACCACCTCAACAGTATGTAAGTCTATGGAATTAATTAAACCACAGTACTACACTGCTTCAGAAATAAGCTTTGATTCCAAATAACCTCCTTCATTACTCAGTTTTATAAGCTCTAAGTGCAAATTAGTATGGATAAAGCTAATCAGCAATACCTCTTAATATTTAATGATTTTTTTATTATTATTCAATGCATAAACAGAAATATACTAAGAGTGGTACTTGTTACATTTTTTTCCCTATTTAACTTTTAAGACACTAAAACTCAAAGCCCAGATAACATCTATATATTCAGTCATACTTCTCCCTCTAAGAAGTGAGAGCATTTTATCAAGTCAGAGATATAACATGTTATCTCTAATTATTGCTACATGTTGGTTCATCTTTGTCATTTCTGCATTGTTTTTATAAAGAGAAGCACCCTTTTCATAAAAATAGGTGATCACTTTAGGAACTAATTAGCTAAAAGTTACTTTGACCTAAAATACTTTGTTTTATTGAATAGGAACACTCCCTTGATAAATTCATCACTAAAAAATATTTTTAAGTTTTTGTGTAGGTGATTTAGCAGTATTTTATACCAAAGTTTATCTTAAATTGAATTGTACATGTCTTCCCCTTATCAAACATCTTTGCTCTTTAGAGTTCCTTAATAGCCATCAAACAGCAGATTTTAGTTAATGTGATCAGTAGTATCAATATTACTTACCTTCGTAATAGAAGGAAAAAGGAGAATAACAAAAATTACACCAGATGTTTTCTCAAGCCACATAAGGTAATGACATGCCCAGCTCTACTTAGGTGCCCTTACCTGTGCAGAGTTCCACTACCAACCAGAGATGATTGCTGGTTTCATACCACTCATGAAAAGTTACAATATTCTTGTGATTAATTTCGTGGGTGAGGCGGACCTAGAAGAACACACAGCATTCACACTAAAAAAAAAGAACGGTCTTAAAACCCTTGCATCAATTAAGAAATACCTAAATACACAATGGAGAATGGGTAAGAATATGATGGGATTTATTTGGTGGAATTCTACACAGGCATTAAAAATGAGGCTATGAAGACAGGTTACATTTTTGAAAATGCTAATTTAATGTACTTATGTTAAAGGTGAAAAAATGCACAATTTCCTATATTTGTGTAAATAGTGTAAATACAACATTTTGAAAGATAAATTCAGAAGGTATATCAAAATAAGTGCCGTAATTATTGTAACTGTTTTTCTTAATTTCTTTTATTTTTCTCCCTTTTTCTACTTTCTATACTAAGTATATACTATTTTTATAATCAAGAAAAATTAATTTTAAAGGAAAAATACCCCTAAGTAAAAAGAACCTAAATGCTCAATAATGCAATAAAAAATAGGTTGTCTATCACAAATTAAGCCCCTAATAAAATGTTTAATTTTATAGCATGGAAAAATGCTATTTATTAAATAAATAAGGCAAGAAGCAAAATTATATAATACCATGACCAGGAAAGAAAAACTCAGAGCAAAAAGGCTAGAAGCAAACAAACCAAATTGGAACTGTCACATTTTTGTCAAGTGACATTTTTCTACATGGTCTCAAATTTCTATAGTGACCATGTACTCATTTTATAAATTTTTAAAACTCTCAAAAGAGGACCTCCCTGGTGGCTCAGGTGGTTGAGCGCCGCACTGTTAAGTTGTCAGCAGCTCTGCAGCGCCGGTTTGATTCTCGGCTGGGTCTCACATGGCACGGCAGACCTCTCCTGTCGCCCCGCTGCTCCCCTCAGCAGCGTATTTCGTCAGTCTGCCTGTTCTGTTCCCTGCTCGGTCTCTGGTGAATCCTCTCACCCTCCCACGCATCTGGCCTGTACCCCGTTCTTGTATAAATAAATAAATAAATCTTTAAAAAAATAAAAAACTCTCAAAAGATTCTACAATCTTTTTTTAAAATGCTCTCAGTGAAGAAACTCACTGTAGAATGGAGACAACCAGAGGGGCCAGAGCAAGGTGGGGAGGGAGCACAATGGACTTCGGTAGAGGACTATGGGTGTCTCAGGGGTGGGTGAGACAGGGTGACAACACCGAAGGGGGGAGAACCTATACTTCTGATACACAAACAATGATGTAAACCAATGTTGCAGTGAAAAATAATTTTATTTATTTATTTATTTATACAAGCACTGGGTACAGTCAGAAGCGCGGGAGGGTGAGAGAATTCACCAGAGCCAGAGCGGGGAGCAGAGCAGGCAGAAGGACCGAAGGACACTGCTGAGGGGAGCAGCGGGCGGCAGGAGAGGTCTGCGCGCCATGTGGGACCTCGCCAGGCAGCCGGGGATGGAACCAGCGCTGCAGAGGCTGCAGGCAGCTTCGCAACCCAGCACTCAACTGCTACACCACCAGGGAGGCCCGAAAAATAATTTTTTAATATATTTTATGAGATTACTGAATCCTAGTATCTAGACTCTTAGTGAATCCTAGTATCATCAATTCATCCAGAATATTAAAGAAGGATGACTAGTGGAAGCACAATCTTAAATTTTAATTCCATTGGCTCATGAGAATACTTGTCAACGAAACACAAGAACTAATTCAAAACACAATAATAACGATGTAAAAAGCCTTTTTAAAAAAAAAAAAAAAAAAGGCAAGCACCAAGTTGCTTCAGGGATTTTACTTTCTCCCTTTAAAATGCCATTAAATGTAGAAAATAAAACCACAAAAATGCAATTAGCAAACCATCAAGAACCAGAATTGCTGACAAATACCAAAATGCTTTGGGTTCCATTTCCTGATTTTCTTTTTAAACGATCACAAATTCTGCTACCAGTCAGCTCAGGGTAATGGGCCTATAATATGCGGGAATTCTCCTAAAACAGCTCCCTATTTTGGCAAATATGGCATATAAAATATGGCACACTCTGGAAGCAAGTAGGTGGGCTCACACTGTAACACAAGGGAAAATGAATGCACATAAAAACATGAGGTGCAAATCAAAACTCAGAATGATCAAGAGAATTTGAGGAGCACCTTGTAATACCCAATAAGGCCACTAGAGAACAGAGAGCACCCTCAGTGGGAATGTTTCAACTATACTGAGGTTCAGGCACAGGAGGGGCAAAGTCTTGGTGAAAAAATAAAGGAGGTATGGAAATTCCAAGAGAATTCAGGCTACAGTGTGCCTTCTGAACATGCCTCATCCACCATATATGCCAAGTACTGACTCTTCGAGATGCTGAGCCACCTCAGTTCTTTCAATTTAATTACTCCACCCTCACTCCGACCCTCCTACACCCTCCGACAACCCACACTGTCCCATACAGAAGTCACTTGCTGAGGGGTCTACCAGTAAACTTGGAAAGGGCTAGTCCGAAAGGCGATGAGCTGTAAGAGGAATAATACACACCAGATGCTGAGCATTTAGTAGCCAAAAAAGAAAGAAAAATATCTCATTAATCACTTTAAGTTTTTATTGAAGTAACAATGATTTATAATATCATACATATGATGTACATCTGAAACCAACCATCTGTACTACATATTCTGTTCACCACTAAAAGTCTAACTCCATCCTTCACCGTCCAATTCACCCCTTTTGCCCACCCTCCTGCCCCAACCTTCCTGTCTGGTAGTCACTACTTTGGTCTTAAGTTTTTATATTGATTGAATGTTGAAATGATAGTACATTGTATATTCTAGATTAAAGTATATTCATAAACTTAATTTTGTCTACTTATTTTTCCTTTTTTCAACTTTGACATTAGATTTGTAGACACCATTAGATATGTTTCTAGATTTTCAGTAATAATCATATTATCTTCAAAATCTCTTTCACACATCTTATTCTCTCACCACTAACTCACTTTCCAGCTCATTTACTGCAGTGCTCCAATTCTAATTAATTCAACCCTCCACATGCCCTGCATGTACCCTAGTGGCTGACGCAGACACAAACCATACTGACTGACCCACCTTCATTTATAATCCTCTATCTGAAATGACCCCAACCAGTGAGGAGTCACACCTCATCTTTCCTCTTTCCTTGAATACCACCTCCCCATCCCCAACTCCTAACTCCTGACTTGCTCCAAATCTCAGAATAAAAACCTACTCTGAAGAGAAATTCCACATGTTCCCAGCACTGAACCGACCAATCAACTTTCATTTTCTCCCATATACCTGATTTCCTCAACTGTGCACACTCCTCTTAAAAGCCAACACCTCCTCAAACCCACTGGGATGACGATTTAAAAAATAAAAACAGATAATAACAAGTAATGGCCAATCAACCTACTGTATGGCTCTGATGCTCTGGCAAATGCAAAACTAAGGGAGACAGTTAAAATGATCAGGGGTTGCCAGGGGTTGGAGGGAAAGAGAGGGATAAATAAGTGGGACACGGGACCTTTAAGGCAATGATATTCTTCTGTGAGATACCTTAATAGTAGATACATGTCATTACACATTTGCCCAAAGCCATGGGACAATCAACAGCAAGAGTGAACCCTAATGAAACTATGGCCTTTGGGAGGTCATGATGCATCGATGTAGGTTCATACATAATGACATGTACCACTAGTAGGGATGCTGGTGATAGGGAGACTATGGAAATGAGGCAGTAGGGGCTATATGGAAAAATCTGTATTCCTTCCTTTTTGCTGCAAATCTAAAAACTGCTGAAAAAAGATAAAACTATTTAAAGAAAGCATTCTGGTGGTGGTTGCACAACAATAGGAATGTATCAGACCGTATACATAAAAACTGTTAAGGTGGCAAATTTTACGCTGTACAAATTTGAGCACAATCTTTAAAAGTTGAAAAGCAAAAGTTAGGCTTGGTCCAAGAAGCCTGGGCTGTCAAATGGCACATTATTTTAAAACCAAGTCATTTTCACTCAAAGTCCTTCCTTTGGAAAGCTTCATAATCCTGTACTAAACTTAAAAGTAAATGACCTAATATATATTTTCCCTGATGTTTCACACTCACACACACACACACAAAGCCATAAGTTGCTAGTTACTTGGGTATATTTATCAGTCATCATTCAGGATTGGTGACACCAAACAGACAGGTCACCCCATTCCAGATTGAAAATGTGGCATTTGCTGTAGTGAATCCAAAGATTCCTTTTTACATGCTACATACTCTACATGATCATAATTGTCTTTTGCCAGAGGCAGGGAAACATGTTGACTTACCCAATTGGTTATTTCAGGCCTTTTGCACTTATCAGTACAAAGAATAGCTACAAAATTGATCGTTCCTTTCCGCCGCCCTTTATAGACAACCGTCTTGCTGCCTCTGCCAATCTCCTCATACAGAATGAAGTTTTCCATCTCTGGGGCGACTCTTCACACTCAATGAAATGACAGCCTAATAGCATCTCTAGTACCTAAAAAAGTAAACAAAAATGCCACTTTCAAATGTAAATTAGTTTCCTGATTAGTTAGCCTAGGGGATTTAATATGTAAAGTCTAAATTCTACGAATTCACAACTAAAAGTATTGGATACTAGTCTCTTTCATTTTGAAGGGTGAACAAAGCTAAAGGAAAAAATTAAAAACAGTTCACAAGCCAATATTCAATTTCTTTAATTCAATCAACTAGATCTTAACAAAATAATGAAAATGACAACTGCTTCCAATGCATTGAACAAAACCAAGGAATGAAAGAGACTTGAGCTAATAATATCTTAATACCTTTTTTAGCTTCTCAGTTACAATAGCAAGCACATGGAGTCAATATCTGGAAAATGGGGCACTATCTGCCCCACCCAAAATTCAAATTATTAGAAGCAAATGAAAGTGTATGTGAAAATGGAGAAACTGTTTTACAGGTTAGTAATTGAATCATTTGGATTACACACACTGGTATCTACATCAAATGAGCAGAAATCAGACAGTGAATTTTAATTCCAAGCAGAAAAGATGAGAGAATTTTTAATGTAATCCAATGTAAACCAAAAGAGGGTACAGATTAGTATCTATTTCTTTTAATGAACAGTCTTACTAAAACCTACCTATTATAAAGAATCAATCTCGATTTCTAACCCACGGTAGTGCCAGCAAGCCCAGGGCAGGTTCTAAATTTGGGCAGACAGACAAGGGACAGTCCCAGATCCATCAGTGGCTTTTTCAGGCTTTAATGCTCTTTCTATGCCAAGTGTTGTGGGCCAAGCCCGCAGGCTGGCAAGGCAGGGAGGACTAGGGTCTGGGAGGCTGACAGGGCACTCTGGTGGTCTTTTCCTCTGGTAGCCATTCAGCCACAGCTATTCCTGTCTGAGTGACGCCACCCTTATAGCTCTGCCTCCAGGCTCAGGTGTGCCCACTCACACGTGCTCCACACTATACTCCAGGTGTCCACAATCAGGCACACATGCCCCATGCCCAGCTCCCAAGCACCTTCTGCATTCAAGGCCGCAGGTGATAGCCACAGAGGCCTATGGGGGGAAAGCCGCCAAAATAAAGCCTGTAGTAATTATGTAGCAAGTCAACAAAGATAACATTAAGTTGGCAAAATATTAAAACAGAAGCTATAATGAAAAAAAAATAACATGATGGTAAATGTTCCACAATTGACTAAGTTTGAATACATTAAGATGTTGAAATCACAAGTTTTTATGTAAGAGTAGAGTCCTTGAAAACAAGGTTTTAGACAAGAAAAAAAATAAAGTCTCAAAATTTTGAATTTGATTCAAGCCAAATTTGTTTCCTCAATCTTTACTAAGCAGCATCATAGCAGAGCACCTGATATTGATGCATCGACTATACTCTGCTTAAACAGGACAGTTAGCTGCTTTCAGCACTTCCCCTCTCTGGGGCTGCGGCCTCAGAGTAAAACAAGAATTGGACCAGAAATTCTTCCAACATCTTTCAAGTTTGAAATTCCATGACTTTTTCTTTTTGACACACTCCAAGGGCATTTCTCGCCTTAGACTTCCTAATGCGCATTTTTCAATCATATAATTTTCAAGTTATATAACAAAAAAAACAGAAAAAATAAATGTGTCATTTATCCATTATAAAACAGACACACCCCCACCCTGTAGTCATCACTGAGTCTGGAATAGTACTTTGCCAGTCAGCTCAGTAACCTGTCTCTGAGCCTATGACTATCACAACTCTCCTCCCCAAAAGTAATCACTCTCCTGACTTTCATAGCTTGAGTTTCTTCTCGTTTTCTCAACCAAGTGTGTATCCCCAGACATGCTAGTTTAGTCTTCTACATTTTCTAAAAGCATGGTTGTAGGGTAAGTGAATTGATCAGGCTTTTTACTGTTGGCCTCTGTTGCTACCACCTGGAGCCTTGATCGAGTTGATGGAGTAAGGGGGGTGGGCACAGGGTTGCGTGCTTGGTTGTGGACACCTGCAGTATGGGTGGGGACATGCATAAGTGTGCACACCTGAGCCCAGAGGTCAGGGCTATAAAGGCTGCATCTCTCAGAGACAGCTAAAAGGAGGACTAGCGACTACAAAAGGGGCGAGAACACGAGAAAAAGCCAGGGAGAGCCCAGAGAAAAGAGAGTGCTAAGATTCGCAGGGGGCTGGTAGTTCAGTTGCCTCCCCAGCTCCTGGGCCCCTGCCTGCCCACCCCACAGCAATGGTGCATCTGTTAAATCTCCTTTAACTACATGTTCACCTAGGTATTATCTGAAAATCCAGAAGTCAAAGCAAATAACCCAAAGAAGCATCTGAGAGCATTTAAGCAGCAGTGGGCAGGGTCTACGTTCACGAACTCTGAAACAGACTAGGTAAAAGCAGCACCCAGCAGCCAGGTCAAACACGTTTGACTCCAGCACGGGCAACATTAGCAACACCTGAGGCCTTGATAGAACTGCATAATCTTGGCGTCCAGCTCAAACCCTCAAAATCAAACTCGAAGCGGAGTCAGCAACCCGCTTTTTCGCACCCACTGGAACATGCTCAACCTAGAAAACGACAGGTCCAAAGTTTCTGGGGTTCATGGAAGGCAGGAGGCACAAAACTGAGCCCTCAACAAGTGCTCCTTCTCTCAGAACTTCACATACTGAACTGACAGCAGGCTTTGAGCTTGCTCTGTCCCACTATGTAAACCTCCGTTCCCCACCCCACCCACCCCCCAAAAACCAACACTCAGGCACCCCTAACTAGCCTGCCGCCAGCAAATTGGCGGGTTTCGCCACCTCCCTACATCTTCTGACCTCAGAACCCGGCAAGCGCCACGCTGGTTTTAAGAGGCAGAACTCCGAAATCGGGGGCAGCCATAAAGCGATCTTCGGAGCCCTAAAGCCCAAGACCCCCGAGAGTCCCCTGCACCCAGACCCTGGGAGAGGTGTCGGTGCGCACTCAACCAAAGCCATGAGAAAACTGCAGGGGTCCAAAAGGCAATACAAAGCAGAGCCCGCTGAGACAGAGGGAGAGAGGTAGGCGAGGGATATCCCGCCAGGCCTGCACGCTCTCCAGAATCCACTGAGAGAAACAAAAACCCAATACTTGGTCCCTAAACCCAATACTTGGCCACTCCACCTACCTGATCCTGCGGGAAGGAGCCGCGGATCCACTGGACCCGCTCCAGGGATTGAGCGCGTCTAGGCCCCGCCCCCACTCCGGACGAGTCCACTTGTCAGAAAGCAGGGGCGCCACACTGGAGAAAGACGGGACGGGCTGGGGCAGCGTGAGCCTGTGCAGGTTCAACACCCCCCTCGCATTTGGATTTTCCCAGCCCGTCTCCAAGGCAGCACGCAGAACGCCGGAAGGAGCGCAGAGCACTGACTGGCTGAGCAACTTCGATTCCTATTGGCTGTGACCGGCCGCTAGAGCACGGCCCTCCCGTCAACGGTCTCGAGCCCACCCTTTGGACGAACCCACCGACTCTGGAGCTGGCAGGAAGTGCGGGCGAGAGGCGGGACTTCTAGCGTCAGCGTCCGGTCTTGAGAAATCGACACCCCTCCGCTTTGGATTCGCCCATCCATCTCCAGGGCAGCCCGCGGGACGCCGGAGGAGCGCTGGGCGGCGGCTGGGCTGGTTTGGTCCCTATTGGCGGAGATCCGGAAGGGGGTTTCTGAGGAGGCCTTAGTCCGCTGTAGCCTGGCGCGGGGGCTGCTTTTGGGGGGTTGGTAGTGACCTGCCTGGGCGGTAGCTGCAGAGTTGGGGGGATGGGGGAGCGTTGGGGGAGATGGGGAGTGTTGGGGGTTGTTGGGGGTTGGGAGAGTGTTGGGGGGATGGGGGAGTGTTGGGGGGTGGGAGAGTTTGGGGGGTTGGGGGAGTGTTGGGGGTGGGAGAGTTTGGGGGATGGGAGGAGTGTTGGGGGTGGGGGGATTGGGGGAGTGTTGGGGGGTGGGAGAGTTTGGGGGGTTGGGGGAGTGTTGGGGGGTGGGAGAGTTTGGGGGGATGGAAGGAGTGTTGGGGGTGGGGGAGTATTGGGGGGCGGGGCATGGAGCCGCGGATGCTCGTCATTCTTTACCCAGCCAAACTGCACCGTTTCCTTTTTTATTCCTTGCTCTTGTCGAAGCTCAGCTTGTCTTGGCTACAGGCCGACATCTCAAGTTCCTCACCCTTTAGAAAAGAGAAGTGTGGATTATTTTCCTTCTTGTACTCGCGAAGACAAAGCAGAGCCTCTGATCTCGAGGTGACTGCATGACTTTCAAAGCTCCACACCCTCAAATTCCGTTAGCACTAGCTCCCCTCTTCCATTAGAGTTACGCAGTGGTTCTCCGACTTCAGCATTAGAATCACCAAGAGCGCTTGCTCAAACTTATTAGTGGGCCACATCCACAGAATTTCTGATTCTGTCAATCTGTATGGCGTCCAGATTTTTTGTATTTCTATCATGTTACCAGGTGATGCAGCTGTTGCTGAGCAGGGACCACCCTTTGTAAACCTGTATGTAGAGAAATTGTGCCCCTCATCTCAAGTGAATCGCATCTCTTTGACATCTAAATCGTGTTGCCTTCTCAGGAATCTTACATTATCCATTATTGTCACTTTTGTATGATTAACAATTTTGATAGGGAAAAAAAGTTTCCTCATAGATCGCTCCCTAATTATTGAAAACTAAAATATCAGTTCCAATTTTTGATAAATAGCCTAAGCATTAATGTAAGAAACAATAGCAAATCCTGGCACTTCTTAGGCTAGGTTCTTTGGATACCTCCAGGAAATATACAAGCTCTTTAAGACAGTTAAAATATGTGCACATGCATTTATCTGGCTAGAACTGAAAGGTACCAATGATCCCAGAAGATTTACGAACTCTTGCTATAGACAATTCTAAGATAGCATAGCAAAAGACAAGGGAGAGAGTACATGGAACTCAATGTCCACCACACCACCACAGTCAACTTTTAGTTTGACTTCAAAAAAAAAATTTTTAAGTGCTATTTCTTGAACAGGATGTAGAGCTGAAACAACATGTTTTAATTTACTTCAGTTCCTGAGCATTTTCAGGTGACCTTGAAAATTTTAGATTTTCATTCTTGTATAGTTGATAAGAATGAACCTGACATGAAGAACACAAAAGCTGAATTAAGCAAGCAATCTCTTTTCAGAAGTACCTATGCCTGGACTTCCTCACTTTCAATTATTATCTCTTCATTCAGTCACATACAGAGTTCCTTCTTTGAGTAAAGTATTATGTTAGACATGGAGGAGAAAGAAATAATTTATTAGTTATCTTCATCCAAAGAAGCATACAAAATAATACATACAAACTTTGCCAGAAAAATTTAGGCAAAGGTGGGGCCTCCCTGGTGGCGCAGTTAAGATGCAACCTATGAAGCTGTCCGCAGCCTCTGTAGCACGAGTTCCATCCCCAACCAGCAAGGGAGCTTCCCACATGGCGCAGCAGACCTCTCCTGACTCGCCCACTGCTCCCCTCAGCAGTGTATTTCAGTCAGTCTGCCTGTTCTGTTCCCCACTCTGTCTCTGGTGAATCCTCTCACCCCGCTGCACCTCTGGCCTGTACCCCAGTTCTTGTATGCATAAATAAATACAACTTAAAAAAAAAAAGTTAGGCAAGGGGAAAACAAATTAAGAAAATTCACTTGAATTCTGGAGCGAAGTTACAAGAACAACAAATATATATATATATATATACACATATAGATACACACACACATATATATAGTAAGGATCTGAAGGACCATAGGTGCTCAGAGTAGGCTTTAAAGTGGGCTTTATGAAGACTAGCTGCTATTAGAGAGGGAAGCATTGCCCTTAAATATTCACTGACTCTAAAGTACAAGCTAACTAGTTAGTCAGGAAAAAGCTATTCCTGAAAGAATTGCATTTCCTGGGTCTTCAATGTGTTCTATATAGAGCTGAATTGTAAACACAATGTGAGTTCGTTCATTGGGCTAATTCTTTTCATGTTCCTTTCATATGAACAGAGAGCATCATGCCACGTTCAACATTAACCCTGCAATACTGCATCTGCCTCAGGATGAGCACTTAGTCTGCTTGATCTGTGTAGTCTGGGGATGCTTTCAGAGTAGAGAATCAGCAGAGTAGCCTCCATGGACTCAGTTACATTTTGGTCACAGCTTTTTGGAGTAAAAAAGGTACATATCCAGCTCTCTCCACCCATGCTAATATTTGAGTGAGCTCATCATCTCCAAGGACATTTAATGGGAAGGCCCATGCTGAAGAAGTTTACCCACTCTTGTGACAGCTGGAGGACTTAAGAAAGATGCTCCACTGCCACTAAGAAATGAGCCAAACTAGACAGTTGGGACAGACTATGATTGTCCTCATAAAATAATTTGGACTTACTTCAGATGAGAAACGGAATATGTCAATTTACCATGTAGACCCTAAAACCTCACCAAAATGACTGAATTGAAGTTAATACCACAACAGCACTTAAGAACAAGTAAGGAAAACATTCTTGAGGAATTTCTGGGATACAAAAAAAACCTGGCTTCAGGTGAGCAGGGTATCTGTAAAGGAGGATCCAGGTGAGTCCTGGGGCATATAATCCTCATCTTGGTTATATTTGGATAAAAGGGTTCCACTTTACCACCAACTGATCTCACCACCCTGAACAGTGTCTCCCTGCAGTGCCTTCTACTTTCAAGAAAAGACTTGGAAATACTTTCTAAACAACATGAGCAACAGGCCTGGAATGGAGAATTCCTGCTGAACCATGCATAAGGCTTTTCCTGCAAGAATGATGGCAGCAGCCAGGCTTCTAATCGTCAGTTAAAAGATCAGAAGTTTCCTTGTGCAGAAAGGAGATTTGTGCAAGAAAAAATACTGACATCTAGTAAGGAGAGGTCTCAAATGAAAAAAAAAAAGCTATCTCAGTCCCTTATCACCTTAAAATGGAGCTCACTAATCAATAAGTCCCCAAAGTGTGCATTAAACACTGAATGAGCTTTCAGTTTTACTCTTACCATATGAACACACAGCCAGAAATATTAAGATAAACAAGGAAAGACTAACTGGAAAGAGATTAAAATAAGTCAACCAATAAAAATAAGGCAGAGGTGGGCCTCCCTGGTGGCGCAGGGGTTGGGATGCAGCCTGTGAAGCGATCCGCAGCCACTGCAGCGCAAATTGGATTCCCAGACAGCCAGGGAGCAGCCCACATGGCACGGCAGACCTCTCCTGTCTCGCCCGCTGCTCCCCTTAGCGGTGTACTTCGGTCAATCTGCCTGTTCTGTTTCCCACTCTGTCTCTGGTAGATCCTCTCACCCCGCCCATGCCTCTGGCCTATACCCCAGTTCTTGTATGCATAAATAAATAAATCTTAAAAAAAAAAAAGTAAGACAGAGGAAACAGAAACAATGCAGAAAGCAAACTAAAAACTTTACGATTATAATTACTATCCTGAGAGATGTGAAAAGCTATAGCATTCAGTTTGCATTTTATTTTTCTTCAATAGACATTTAAGAGTTGGGCTTTTGATTTTTTGGATTAAATTTTGTATTTATTGTTAGCCGATAATTTGATTTTGGGGAGGCACTAATTTTCTTTGTGGCCTAATGCCTAGTATTTTTAAATATTTCACAGCAGTTTAGAAAGAATATATTTTATTTTTGGGGTTCACAGATTCATATGTTCATTTTCCAGCTTATTAAATGACATGTTCAAATCTTCTAAATCCTCTTTTTATGTTGCTTTGTCCTGCTTGCTCTGCCAGTTCCTGAGAAAGGTATCTTTTAATTACTCATTATTGTTGTCGATTTGCCAATTATTTGTTGATGGGTTGGGCTCAAGGACAAGGAACTTAGAAAAATAACAACAAAATGATCCCAAGGCCTCCCTGGTGGCACAGCGGGTTGAGCGCTGCACTGTGAAGCTGTCCGCAGCCTCTGCAGAGCAGGTTCATTCCCGGCCGGCTGGAGAGGGTCCTTCATGGCGCAGCAGACCTCTCCTGTCTTGCCCGCTGCTCCCCTCAGCAGTGTATTTCTTCAGTCTGCCTGTTCTGTTCCCCACTCTGTCTCTGGTGAATTCTCTCACCCCTCGCACCTCTGGCCTATATCCCAGGTCTTGTATAAAAAATAAATCTTTTAAAAAAAACCACAGTGGCAATAGAAGGAAAACAATACTGAAGATAAAGATAGAAAGGGAGGAAATGCACTAGCCAGGAATATAAAGGGAGAGGGCAGGAAAT